ATCACGAGAGAAGAATAAGATCGGGAATGTAAGCGCATTCATTACCACGACTGAAATACTAAAAAAAACTGTGAAACGGTTGCCGCTATGTGGCAGTATTTGACAGACAACGGGTTCGAGACGACGAGATCCTGTTGGATGGGAGACTGCTTGAGAGCTTCGCATAATTTGGAATCAATTTCAGTTGAATATCGTAGCAAAGGAATCTTCGCAATTGAACTATGGCTTCACATCAACAAATAAAAAAATGCGATTTTCTCCAAAACTACTACCATTAAAAACTCTTTTTATCTTACTAAGTCCACAAAATTAGTCAAATCTTACAGGCATGTAAAAATAGTAAAGAAGTTTTAAGTCATTTTATAACCATCATTGTCAAAAGTAAATTTCGACATTGATAAGTGATATTCTCTTTTTTCTTGCTGCCAAAATCGTGATTAGTAAATGATTCTTTACATTGTCAGTGACGTACAGTGTGTTACAAAAGAAAGTGGAATTTTTTAAGAATTACTCAATTATCAAATCATCTTCCTAACAAAATGCGAGGTGTTACATTTAGGGGCGTCACATTAAGTCGAATATTTATGACTTACAATTTAACCATATTAATACAAACTTTTAATAACAGGAACAACACTTGACGTATCAATCTGCTTAATTTTCTCAAATTAGATAAAAAAGTAATATCAACATTGAGTTCGCAGAGAATTAACATGCTCAAGAGCTGATTTTGGTAACTATTGCCGATTCCGATGAAGGCGCATGAGATCGGTAAACACGAAGCGATTGTTTGCGACAATGATATGTGAAATATTTATATTATTAATTATATTATTAATCGAAATGATACGTTTCTCAATTTATTGTCCAATGAAAATTCAACCTCTGTAAAAAGTTTTTACTATTTAATACGCCCATCATTGCGAGTTGCTCCAAAAAAGATGCTCGCTAGAGATCAATCCCACTCGAGAAAAATTGTGATAATGAAACAGTTACGGTGCGGCCATACGACGAAAATTATAACAGCAGTTGCCTATGCTGACGAGTTTTGCCGACAAGTGCGAGGAATATCAGTTTTAAAGGACAGGTGAGTTCCGCAATTGTACCTTCGCCGTCATCCGAATATTTCCACTTTTGCTTAAAACTCACAGCACACTTCTATTCATAGTTTCGATGAAAAGGTCTTCCTTTCATCTCTGAGCAGAACATGCTCAAACAAGAGGACGGGGAGGAATTTGGACAACCTCAATGGAGGTTGTCCTCGCGCCGGGTCCCAAAAGGACTACAAGCGGCAAATCTCCGTAACAATTGATCGTATCGAAAAGATACTGATCAAATTACAAGAAAAAATCCGGTTCAGAGGCGAAAGAATGTCGAGGCAGGGTAAGAACATTATAACACATCATTATAAATAATAATTAGAATACAATATCGATAGTCACAAATTACAAACATACAAAGTAGAGTTGTTGACGCTGAATACCTTTCATTTACAGATACGGCATCGGCTGCGTCGGCTGCCACGACTGCCACGGTTGCATCGATGGTTGCGAGTTAATCGCACCGTCAAAACGCGCCGCCAGGTTACTACCAATTTACGAATCGGTAGTAGCCATAAAAATAAAAACGGTAAACCCAATTACCGTAGACTAAGCAGCCTGGCTTCAAGGATTTGGTCTGCGATAAAGCAAAAGGACCTATTTTATCAGACAATTTTTTAGGGTCCTCTCGGAATTTGTATGTCAAATACATGGGCGCAAGTATCCCAATTTATAAAGGGGCAATCTCGTTAGCGTATGCCATGCTTAATCAGAATTATTACATCTACTAACAGGGACGCAGATATTTATGTACTTTCTCAAGTCCCAGGAACGAATTATTCGTATAATAAAAAAAAACATCCAAATTACATTACGCTCTAACGCATAAATCGTGCAGCCAAACCTTTTAGTTTTTAGACTTTAAAAGAGAAATGCAAGAATTATCTATCTTTAAGCAACGAATAGTTATAGGTTTGCACTTGAGAAATTCTTTTTCTGAGACAGCTGCCATTGTTGAGTGTTCAAAAGGAATGTTCAGACTACATGTGCATAGCATTTTTTAGAGTAGCAGATGATATGAGCCTCATATCTGCAATGCAAAATGTGACGATTATACTTTATTATATAATCGCTATTAAAACCGTTTGGCAAGCGGAGTCCAAATTTACATGAGCATCTACTGCATATGTGAGCAATTAATACATTGATAAAACCGGCGTCGTCGACTAAAGATTTATCATGTCTCTTCATTCTAAAAAGTCATCAGTCTGACAATGAACGCCACGTATTTCTGTCGGGTTAACTGTCACGGGAGAGCGTATAATTATTAAATTGGACTTAGTTGCGCTTTCGAAAGTGCGTGACGATAGTTGAATTGAACAAACAATTAAATAAGCTTTTTTGCACTGACGAGTTTGACTCGAGTTGTGCTCACTAATCCTATACAATTAACTATTTTCGGAATTGATTACTAAGAGAATACGCGCTGAGCAAAGTAATAATTAATTATCGTATTCGCCGCTCAGTCAATTGCGAGACAAATATTACGATTAACCTTTTCGCTATACGGATTGTGCTTCAGAAATATAACGGAGTATTCAAAAAGAACTAAAATTTAGAGTAAATAGACATTTGTTTATCGATAAGATCAGGATAAAATATAACGTATCGAGCGTCTTCGATATTGATGAACACACCGATGCTAAGTATACTCTACGCTGCTTTTATATCTTTCCGTTCACTAATTGATCTATTTTTAGCATCGTAAATAAATCTATTAATTCGCCACTATCCTATTGTACCGTTGTCATTGCTGCTGTTCCTGTCACTGCTGCTGCTGCTACTACGAAATGTTAATGTTCTACGGCGGGCAGACCTCACAATTCCATTGGTCAAATTTGTATGGCAACCAATAAAAACTGCAAATGCAGGATCACGTTCTGCTCTGCTTTAACCTTTCCCCTATTTAGGCCAGCTGAACATCCAATGGAGGAATAGTATTCGAGCCTGTACAACATAGCATTTTGTGCGACCTGGCAGGTAAAATTTACTGATTATCTTGTACTCAACTATCGCGCGGGTTTCTCGTAAAAACAAAATGACACTCTTCTCTTATGCTGGCCACGTACAATGTGACTAAAAGTTATTTTTGTATACACTCTCAAACAAGCTGCTTTTCCAAACACAGCTATTACTTTTGAAAATTTTAAATTTCAAACTATTTCGAACCCTTGTGCAGAATAGGGCTCTCCTTAAAAACAGGCCCCGCTGCACAAGGGACACGTTAAAAATATATGGAAGACATCATTTTTTTATTCACAACGGAATCTTACGGGAAATGAAGAACCACGCGCTCTTCAATTTTTCAAGGTACTTGCTGAATTAGCATGGACGGTACCTTAAAGTTATTTCGGGCCAAATACGAGAATGAAGAAGGGGTTGACGGCGTTTGGAAACGACGAGAAAGAAGAAAATCTATGCACTTGAAGAAACGGAGACGGAGCTTTCGAGATGGACGAAGTTGCATCAAGCAAATTTGGAACAAAATTATCGAGGCCTGTACTTACCAAGTATATGGAACTGCTTCCTAAGCAAGATGAGGAAAAGGCAATGGCCTTATCTTTATCACTAGCCGTTGGCGTCGCCCAGCATGTACTTACCAAGTATATGGAGCCGTCCCCTGGGTAGATGAAGAAGAAATTGATGGGCCCGCCGTGGATTACTGCTAAGCAAAACGACAGAATGACACCTCATACATTCAAAGAACGCAAATGAAAGAAACGCTTGCTGGGTTGTTTCCACGTCGCAAGCAGTACGCGAATGGCGGTCGACCAGATTCATTAAATTACAGATCAGCTAGATAGGATAGTTTTAGTTCGATGAAGTCATAGTTTGTGACCAATTTTCGATAATGTACTTTATATAGACATTTTATTGGAACGTTTTTCTTCACGATGTATAATAATTGCTAAGCCAAATAAAACGTATTTGCTTTATTGAAATCGATATGGTGTTGTCCCTTATTAGGCACAATGTTTTTCCGGAGATTGCATCTGTTATATGACTGACAGGATCAATTTTTCGAGACGCTCTGTGATGTCCCAAAGTTTCGTTTATTGACTTGTTATTAAGATTTACGTGTTCTCATTGTCCAGATATCTCTTCTCTAGGATATCATCACCATCAATAAGTTGACAATTAGAAATGTCATAGATAATACGGAAAGGTCTTCCTATCAACCGGAGTTGTCTTAGATAAGCTGCGTAAATTGTAGGATAATCAGAAGTAAATTATACGAGTCAGTCATTGATAGTACAAATAAGTTATCCGTTACCACTACTTACTGTCGGGCATCAATTTTGGTAAATCAGTCGAACACAGAGTTTCCGATAAGACAGTGTTGTTTACAAATATGCCTGATATCAGAGACTTCTGTTTTTGCACTGTGTTATTGAGAGCCTTATTAATAATACACTAATGGCCTGATCAATCGGAATAGAAGTTTCATATTTCGAACAAAATCCGTTGACTCATTTGCATCCGTGTCGAGAATTGACGCGTAAACTTCCCACTTAGAACTGGGCGGGGGTCATCAGTTGTTGATTTTCGGAGCAGTAAGACCGCTGCACTGTAATATCATCATAAATGGCATAAGGTATTTCTTTTGTTTCGAAAAGTTCCAAGCTGTTTAGTTGATAAAAAAGCTTTCTTTTAAATATAAATCTAATTATCAGTAGAATTCATACACGAGCCGGTCAGTCATTCGCCAAATAAAATTGATCGGATCTCGCGTACGAAACGATTCCTCCAGTATATGTAAGCACCATATTTCACTACATGAAGGAGAAGGAACAAGCAACAATTAGCATTTATCCGTGTCGAGGACAGTGTCTACAGCGTAATCTTGCTCAAATACCTAGAAAAAATCCCTCCTCGCCCCGAAATAATTTTTGCTCGCCTTTTATACGCTCCGAAATTGGAGGTGCAAAATGAGAATCCTGCGGAAATAAAGCTCAGGTCATGGATTTACGCGGCCATTTTCAGAAACGTCGAAATTTGGATCGTAGCTGGACTGTTGCACCATTATTGTGGCTTGCCCAAAAGACCACGCTTGAAAACATGTGATGTTGCTATGCAATGGTGTTCGGAAGAAAAATATGATACAGCTGATGGCAGTATATTAAATGCAGTATATATAGACCGACCAATCCATGCGGTTGGACATTGTGAATTTTTGATTAGCGATGTTCAGCATACTTACTAAAAAGCCCTGAAAATGATATTAAATTTCCCGGACGATAAAGTGAATGGATCCGAAACACAGCTATGATTTGTCGCCCTGAATTTAGTCAAGGGCAACGTGGTACAATAGTTTAATTTTCCATAACATGTGGCTGACCTTATGCCGTCACGTACAAAAAATTCTTGGATGATTTTGAGATAATTACATTAAAGCTTAGAACATAAGACGACCCTTGACACATGTTTGGAAATTAACTTTACTGAAGGCCCTAGCATGAATCAAGCTTATAATATCAAGAATTCAGAGACTATACTAATGGTGATCTTATTTAATTTAATCTGATGTTTGAGATTAGCATTGGACTCTCAAAGGTTATCATTAAACCCATGATATTTGTCCGATGATACGTTATTTACCCGCATTCATCGGAAATGAATAAGCTCACGGTCGGGATCATTTCGTGTCAGGTACGTCCTCCAAACATCTTGCCCATGACGTGGTGAAATCCGTGCAACTATAATTTGTCATGACCGAGATTGAACACTTTATCGATCCGTTGAATACGTATTGTATTATCTTTTATTTTGACAATCAAACGCTTGTTTCTTTTCTAGCTTTTTCTTACCAAGCTTGGATTAAGTCCCCCAAAGGTCTCGATTTCGTCAACTAGTTTGATTAGATGACTCTCAATTCGGCCGTTTGGTAATATTGCAATTGTCATGATTGGTTTCTATAAATAAGAACAAGACATTTCAGAGTAAAAAAGAATTTCAATTAGGGATAAGGGGTAACGACTAGTGGGAACTCTTACAATAATAATAGAATAGAGTACCCGGACAAAAGTGGTGTCAAACGTAAACATGGTCTTGTACGGCTTTAGCAAACATAACATTCACATATGATGATCTTGATACATTGATATCCTGTAAACGAGGATATAGAACGGTAACAATCAGTATGTGTCTTAGATGATGTACTATTCGCGCGTCATTCTCTTCCTACCTGTAACGCTAACACCGGTCAGTTTTCTCACCCACCCACCCAATTAGAAATACTTCCCGTTTTTCAAGCTGTCCGTAACGCATATTTGACACTGACGATGATTATCTGATTCAATTAATTCCTCAAAAAATTTGCATGGAGAAAAACATTCATAGGTCCAAAGTTTTCTGCTTATGCCAGAATCGTCGTTACAGATTCACTTGAAAGATTCATCAAGTACAATACAACATTCAAACTCGCCGCGGGCAAGTTGTCCCAAGGATTCCAAATTTGATCGAGACACAGATACGGAATCACATTAACGTGCTGCTTGTCCAATCCTTCTTTTCTATTATAGTGCCCCATATCATACTGGCTATTGTTCAAGAACCAGCCACAACCGTTCCCTGGCATTGTTCTGTCTTGTAAACCCAAAGACGCGAGAGATAAGGATGGAAGGGGAAGTGAATGACAATGTTTTGATCTGCCATTCCCGGTGGTTGTCAAAGAAGATTGCTATTTGGGGAAGCTACCAAGCGGAACATCATCCTTTGCCCACATGCACTTTCGATCGATTACCGCACGGAGTCCCTACATAATTATTCATGTCATTAGAAGCGCATACTATTATCCGCTATCTTATGCTTCGACTACATAATAACATGATATTAGCTTGACGTTTTCTGACAGTATATTGTGCACGAGAATATTCTTGATCTCGTTAGCAAATTACCTCTTCTCCAGCTCAATGTCTAGGTTTCAAGTGTATTCAACGTGTGACATGTCATGCAGCGTGCCAATCAACGTGGTGATTGACAGTCGTAATCCGCATAATAAGAATGAATGACATGTTAACGATGTCCGTCATGATGTTAAGGTGTGTGGTAATAGTGGTAGTATAGGGAGTAATGGGATTCCAGCATTCAGGTAGAAAACGTCATTTTTGATCCGTGTTACTTCAAAAACCCTGTTCCACAGCACCATGCCTTGTCTCCTAATAGAAGTGATCCGTCGTCGACCCGTTCTTAATTTATGTATGACATTGGGACGGGTCCTTGTTGATTTTTATGGCAATTTCATACTAATACGCATTCACAATTACTAAAACTCGAGCCTTATCGCATCGTTAGCATGTGCAATAACATTGAATGATAAAGACGCAGCAATTGCTATAAGAATATGCCCTATCACCTTTCATATATGTTACTCTCATTTGCTCCCTAAACAACAAAGACAAAACATGTCTCCTCAACAATATAATAAAATACGTCCTCACCAAATTCCAGCAAGAATAGACATTTTACATATGGTACTAGAAATTGTACCAAGCAGTGTAATAACAGTAAGAGTTAGGTCATTAAGACCTTTTTTAATATACACTCTTGAAGGGAATTATAGGGCATTAAAAACCCATTTACCTCTCTTTGCCCACCCTCCCAACAAACTTGCCCAAGGGTCGAGCTCACCCAAGGGCCAAAACCTATCGACAATATCCCACTCAGTGGGTAGAGTGGTCGAAGAAGTGAAGAAGAGGAAGATTTGGCGGAGGGAGAGGGAGAAAATATGGCCTGTTTACGGGAGGCCGGTTATACCCACGGCCTCGTCGAAATGGTTTCGTTTTTTTTTTTGTTATTTTTATAATTGGTTACTATTTTAGTATCGACAGTTCGAAAATTTTAATTAGGCGACCAAGAACGTGTCAAACGGCTTAGCGCCGGCCGCGTTCTTGTTAAAATTTTCTTTCGGATTTTATTAGTCATAGTAATAGATGTTATTTATTATATGCAGAGTTTATTCTTATACGTACGTAAATAGTTCAATTCTTTGAAATGAACTTTCATCCCTATTAACCAAGAACGTGTCAAACGGCTTAGCGCCGGCCGCGTTCTTGTTAAAATTTTCTTTCAGATTTTTATTAGTTATAGTAATAGATGTTATTTATTATGCACCAAGAACGTGTCAAATGGCTTAGCGCCGGGCCCGCGTTCTTGTTAGAATTTTTTTTTTCAAATTTTATGAATTTATTCACGTGGAATATCGGATATAATAACACCTGATAATATGGTTCAATTCTGTGAAATGGACTTTCATTCCTATTCATGTATTCCAATATTGGTTGGCACTTAAGCTTAATCATATATTGTCAATAAAGATATCAATCTTTGGTATTTAATCCATTAATCCTAAATTTCGAACGAATGTCATCGTTTAAAGAAAATGAATAGAATATGTCGCCAAACGAGCTATTTCTATGTTGCGAGCCGACTGTTAAGCCGTCATCCAAATGCATAGAAAAACGGTATAATTAAATCTCCTAGCGGTGGTTCAGCTTGATGAATTGCCGATTCTATACCCGAAGTTGATTTTGTGCGGGGTCAGATAATTCGCTTTCATTCGCTCAATAGAGAGGTAACCGGACCAAGTCGTACTGGAATCTTTCGAATGGTGTGAGACAGAGTTGGCGACCAAGTAACCATCTAATCCAAAACCCGCTCGTTTTGCTGCTTTTTCCTGAAACATCTATTAAACTAATTGTCGAACATATTATGTGCGTTGCATATAGTTAATGAAAAACTCACTTAAACCAAACCTATTCCACAAATATCCCTCAAGAAATGAAGTCTTATGGGGGAGAACAATATAAATCCATATAATCTTACAGTCCCCCATTAGACTAACCTGTCATCTGTTTTTATGTGAGAAACCAGTTTAACTGATGAGAAAGCATGCTGTTAAAGTAGCTCTCTTCGGTGGGTATTTCTAATTAATAAGCCAAACCTTTTTAATGCGACGAATAAATTATGTCGAGCCCGTGTCACACCGTAACTTGCCGGACCGGACTGTGATAATCTCGAGATATTACAACTTTGCTAGCATTCTTTCCGCTCTTTTTTCAAGCGATTACAAGAAGAGCATCGTGCGTATACGAAGCTTATATTGTGTTCTATTGCGATTCAGGTGCGTGAGGGAAGTCATGATCGCCCTACAATTGACCCAAACGATCAGTTCCTCATGTTTTAGACTACTTACTCCTCATACATATTTACATACCTTCTGGTTATCTGTGTTTCTAGTTTAGAGCGCGGAATACGGTTTTAATGTCTATATCACTTCGAATTTCTCCTTTTATTAGTAGCCACACAACTTGTTTGTAGTGATTAAAGGTTAAGTTCCATATGGAACATGCTTGTTGATGACGCGTTTCAGTTTGCTGTTTACGAAATAATTCGCTAAATAGTCTAAAGCATAAACATCGTCAGCGCAAAATGAATTAGTATTGTAACCAGAGTTGAATGCTCCTAAAACATCCACATAGCTATGCACCATTTCCATTGAAGACATAATTGTATTTGATGATTATAATAGATTTACCATATAAATCCAGTAATAAAGGAAAGACATCAGCTCTGATATCCAACGTGCCATCAAACTCTGAGCGTCAATTGTCTCGAACGTCGCGCTGTCAGTTTATCGACTCGCGATGGTTAATCCAAGACTAATACTTGAACATGATACATTGCCCACGGAGACCTCCCGCTCGTCTGCAGGCGGGTAGTCAAGCATATAGGTAATTGTTAGCATCCCATTAATTCTAACAACATAACCCTCGAGTAGCCAGACGCATATTGTTGGTGTAAAGGTTCATTGAGATTCTACGGCCTGCATTTTCAGCATGTAGTTGGACAACTGAAGGAATAGTTATGAATAAATAGTGATTAATAATTTCTTGCGTTGAACCATCACAACAATACATATAGCACCTGATAGAAAATATAACATGCCTGGACCATCGCCGTCAAATCCGTCTCGTATGTCGTCACGAATAACTCATACCAATGTCCACCCGCATTTTCTAGATTCAATAAAAAGTGAAGAGATGTTTCCAATGTCTTTGTAAAAAATGCAGACTCGAGGACACCTTCCAATTATAGTAGACAATTCGTTTTGTGAATGCGAATATCCTACAGGCGTCAGCCAAATAACCGATCCTCCAATTTTGACCTCGTAACCTATACGTTGTTTCACTGCAATATTAAGAAAGCAATAAATTAATATGATGAATGATAAGATCACAGTACTCTAATATAATTTCATTGAATCACCAAACTTACCCCGTGCTGAACATCCCATGGTCACTCGAGCAAAATGTCGCGTATACACTAATAACGACAATTAGTCGCTACGTAAATATATATATACAGTATATTCCGTATCCAACCTTCTGGTGGATTTAGCATGCAGCAATCAAGTACAGTTTCTTAATATAATCCCATCGTAATGTGCTCTCCCGCAATACACGTTAACCACCGTGCTTCACTCTTCTAACCAAAGATGATTAAGTTCAAATATTGTTTTTTATAAGATCGATGAAATCTGTAAAAAATTTTGCAGTTAAACAATATGTAAATAAAAATGTATTATGAATAACCTTTGCCCCACATAACGATACGTAAGTTCATACCTTCTGACAATATACGGAATACGTAAATCTCTTGAGAGAATCTCACTTATATTATAGATGGATTCTCTCCGTATAACATAACAAGACCCAGATATCCGTGGAGGGCCATCATATTCCCGACCAGTCAACAACTAAATGAACAAAAATTGCTCATGTTAACACATAATACACTTCCATTACATATACATTAACTATTCTTTATGTTCGCATCTTACCTCAGACGCAGCATAATCCAAATTTCCACAGAATGTTTGCCTTCTTGAATATATGCAACACTCCAAAATCAATCAACTGTATGTTACCATCCTCATCCAAAATAACATTCTCGTCTTTGATATCCCTATGCACGACATTATTCTTGTGCAAATGCCCAACCGCACAGGCAACTTGTCAGAATATCGATTTGATTCAGTTTCAGGCATCGAAGCGTCCAGTTCTATGTATTCAAACAAGCCCATTCCGGTCCGTGGAGATTTAAATGTAGTAATGGTTTGTCTTCAAAAAGTTGACTGTTTATTGAAAGAGGGGCGGGGAGAATAATAAATACATAATCCCAAATAACAAACTCGTGATACATGATGCAACGGCATTCTTTTTAGATACGTACTCACGTGTACTATATTTGGATGAGAGAGTTGCCGGAGTGTGTGGAGAATGTGTATCTCTGACGGAATATTTCCGAGTACTCATGAGGTATCCACCTGTCAACAAGAATCCTTGACTTGAAGACAAACTTTAATACCACTAGTTACTATAATAAAAACCACGTATTGTAAATCAACTTCAAAAAAAAAATACAAACCGATAGATACACGAGCCCCCAGTCGCACAAACTCGCAGACTCACCTTTTCTGGATCTTTCTTATTGTATGCCAACTTGACAATTCCATAAGCACATTCTCCCAAGATGCGCAGGGTCTTGTAGTTTTTGCACGAGTAACGGCCGAATCAAATTGAGAATCAAACGATTCTTCCCCTGAAGAAATTACCGATGGATTAAACATCAGCTGACGTACCATCCTCGGCCACATGCGTTGGAGGTCTTCCACCAGCTCGGCCAGGAATTTCGACATTGAGACTTTTCTCCATCATCGCTACTGCTCTGCTCATCGTCCAGAGTTTCCCCTGTCTGCATTGCTTTTTCGGTCTTTGTCTCGTCATCTTTCTTGAATCGGCCATGGTAGGTCATTTTCGTATCCAGGCTCCTGTCGTAGGTTATCCATAATGTACGCAACGGCTCGTCAGCATGTTCGACTATTCGCATCTGTATATCAACACTAAATTCGGTCCCATCTCTATGACCGTGGTAATACTAGACGACCCGCGGGGAGACGTGAAAATTTTCGCGCTCGATACGTCATTAGAATATGTCGACTTGAGCAAGATCGCGGAACGCACTCTCAGGTATTACGGTTCCTTCGACTAGGTCGTGCCCTGATTTCAACATATCGTTCAAGCCCGGAAATTGTCGTAACAAAGACTATATATTCTTCTTTCCGATCAATGCATGTCCACTTGTCCCAAACAAATATTCTTACTACAAGCATGAATAATCCCCGACGAATAAGCAGTAACAACCCCAACAATAGGCGAGATAAAAACGATTTGAACCGATATACGTTAACTGCATCTGATCCCGGTTCAATTTTTTGATGAACCGTCCGCGAATGCAGAATTGTTTCGTGTTTAGATATAAAGCTGTTATATCGGTTCCTTCCAATTCTTCAGCGAGACAACTGTAGAAGCCTTTGGGTCACCAGATGCTTTGAGAATTATTCCCTAAGTAAAGAACCACACCGGTTAAAACAAAAGGATTGGAGAAAACGCGATAGAAGGTCAAGGAAATTCTGCAGACAAACCTCTTGATTGATCCATTGTTAATTCGACAATTTTTGAAATATCCAAATAATTATAGAATTGCCGCAAGCATCCTTTTCCCTTGAGCCATAAGAAGCAGCCGACACCTCATAATTTTCTTTTATATCGGTACCCATAAAGAGATTGTGTGAATAAGAGCATGAAAATATCCCGACGAGAGAACACCCCCTTTCCTCTTATAATATTTACGATTTTACCACATGCCAATACCGATTCATTCTCATCGTCGTTTTCTACCTCGTCAAAGTCTTGACCTGCGTTTTTGAATCAAGAGCCTTGATACTGCATAGTTTTTCTTACATCAGACATTGAAGTAACTGTTCAATTTCTCGCGCAGAAAATTTTGACACGTGGATTTGTGTAACAGTATAAAGTTAATTTTTATTTTAATTAAGATTAAACCAACAAAGTGACGAGAGATTCTTTTATTCACCAGCTTTGGGATATGAACTTGAAGCGATGAGTTCAAATATTCCAGTGATAATTTTTTCTTTTTATTAGTAACCCTCATCAGTAATCTCGAACAAACTACAAGACTTTTTTATCATTTTAAATCTCAGAATGTCACCTAATTTTGCATTTAATAATTGTATTTCCATACTTGCGAGTAAGAGAGGGTCTCCATTGACCCTCGTACGACTGTAGCGGCGGCGAGGGATAATAGATTGGTCAAACCTTGAGGCAGTTGCGTTTGTCAACATGCTGTAAGTTGTCAAACTGTATTTAGCACAAATTCTGGACTCTGTATTATATGAGTAAGACCGTTGAAATAGAGCAGAGATATCGCGTCTCTTTCTCGTTTATGGTGGCTGCGAATTTATAAAAATAACCTCTTCTTAGTTTTCCGCAAAATTAAATAAATTGACGGTTTGGGAGCGGATTTGGATATTTCGCTGGGATCTCGGTAATTGAGATTCTGACTTTGTCTCTAATTTGGCATTTTCTGCTTGAGCTATCAATGGCTTCAATCAACTCATTTGACTTCTTACTGTTTCTGGCTACGATCTCATTCGTGACTGTTTAATCTCAAAGGCTTAATGGCATCGTCGATTGTCTTCATTAATAACTTCGTCTGACTTGCTATGGCTTCATTTGACACGTTATTTTTGATGACGTTTGACCTATCGCTTTTTCATGCCTCGTTCGATTTGCCGTCGGGATATGTACCTCTTCTTATGGTTGTCCTTTAACAACTTCCTTCAGCTTGTCGTTGTGAGTATCATTAAATTCTTCAACTGGTTTGCTGTCGGTCAACTGGTTCGTAAAATGGATAAGCATATGGAGTATGTTGTTTTTTCTTAAACTCTCTAATAATTGCGCGAAGAAATTTCATCTCTGCATCTCTCTTTTTTGATACGCTTCCCTTACGAATAGAGGGCGTCTCGGGATAATCTTTAGGTGGAGGGAGTCGAATCTCTCTTTGAACATTGTTTGCTGATACTTATCAACTTCTTTTGTTCTTCTCGCGATCAACCACTACCGTTGTTGCAGTATTTGACTTTGCCGCTCTACAGATGCCTTTATTTCAGACTCGATTCACGGTTGGCCGCCTATCGTGCCGACTGTTATCTTCTTACTCGAGTTTCTCGTTCGGCTGACTTCTTATTGCAATCGTTCGTTCGGATTTCGTTGCAGCTTTTCTTGAGCTTCTTCTATGGAAAGCTCTGATGTCTTTCATGATGTCTTTTGTGAAGATTAGATGTGTCGTAGTTCCCGAACCATGGTTTTGACTTGGCCGTCGTCTGATAAAGCTCGAAAGCTTTCCGATCGTATTTTTTCTACGCCTTTCCCTCTATAATAAAAACATGCAAGAGTGTATTGTCCCATAAGATGGCCTTGTGCTGCAGCCTTTTGATAGTATTCTGCATCCGTGTGATAATTTCACGTACTGTTTTACTCTCTTTTCAAAGTTCTTTTCATCTTTCCCTCACGGTACTTGTTTGCTATCGGTCTCTCACCAATATTTAGCCTTAGATGGAGTTCGGCACTAGACTACTCATCTCCCACTTTCTAGAATAAATTCAGACCTGTAGAAGCAGTCACTGTACTCAATGTCATCTGAGACCTTGTCGGAAAGCCCAGCCGAAGTAAGGGCGATGAATTCCCGACGTCGCCACTCCAAAAATTCGTTGACCATGCATTCTCAATAGTCTAGAGACGACTGAGACTTGTGGGTATGAATGTTTGTGAAGTCGGATAGAGTGTTATCTGGTAATTAATTTATAGAAGAGCGAACTTTGATGGCAGCATGGTGCTTGTATTCGTGGGCTGAGTGAGGAGATCGTCCCAAACTAAGATTGACCTTTGGTTAAGTTGCGCTAATGTTGGGATTACCATAGCCTGGCCTAAAGAAAAGAAAAATTCCGTGAGTCCTTCTGGATGGGTAATATGGGCTGCACATACTAATCCTATCTTACGACAGAATACATGTCCGTAACATGACTCTCCAACTAATTACCATTTATCATGCAAATCCGTGTTGATTAGTGTTATTTCCTGCTTGGATAACGTCATTACTTGGTTGTCAAAACGTTTGAGTTGTTGGGCTTGTCGAAAACATTAGGCCATTAAAGCGGTTGCTTTATAGTTGCTTGCTATGTTATAGAACGAAAAACAAAATTGATGTGATTAGAATCCGCAATGTTATATTAGGATTCGCGGTCAGCTTCGCCTCAACTCTATATTGAAACCTTCTCTATCACCGCCTATCATCGCCCACAACATATTGATCAGTTCTATTCATTTCTTTCTTTCGTTCACCCTGTCTATATCGGGGGGGGGGTGTGTCTTTATTATTATTAATGAGCGCTTGTGTACGTACCGGCGTATTGACATGCCTTGAAACGGTCTATTTGTGAGCCAGCGGACGCAATTTTTTAGTGCGCCATTCTCTCAGAACCAAGTATGGCACGAATGCCGACAACCGAAAGGTGCAAATGCACCCTTACAACGTTCTTGAAGTAGGTAATAGTTAATTACCCACAGCCCTTTGTTGTAATAGTTAAACTAAGCACAGCCTTTCAATGCTACGATCAACAATCATGTGATATTTATGCTTGAAGATAATAACAGTGACCAAAATTTTTTAAGAAACCAGAGGCATTGAATACGAGCTATTATCCCACTCGTTCTTACAAGATATTAAACAGCAACATTTTCAACGATTGATAAAGCCATCTTTCCTTATTGTAAGGTTTTTTTATGATACTAATACCAACAAATCAATACGCGTTTGAAGATCGACGAATAGAAGCTCTTCGTATATTGCAGTTTTGAATCATTATTAGTATTATCATATCCTTGATTAAACCGCTTTATAAGATTTCGTCTGAAATGTTAAATAGGTTATGAGAAAGTCATATAAGCGAATACATTTTTGCATACTGGATACCACAATAGTAAGCTATTTTAGCCAAGCTTTTTGCAAATACTGCGACGAATCACTTTTTATTGAGGTAGAGGAGGAGGAGTCTAGATCAATTACCCTTATCCAAAGAAGATGTAGAAATGTAATTTTTGGTTTAATACATAGTAATAGTATTACAGTCATACCTCTTTTAAATCCCCACCCTTTAATATCCCAACCTCGAATATATCCCACCTGCGAAGCGGGACGAATTTCCTCTATTGTATTTCATATAAATTTACCTCATTAGTGTCCCCTTCAGATATCCCTATCCCCGATATTTTTGCCGTCCCAAATTCCCATATCGTATAATAATCTATTATTATCATACCTCGGTTA